TTGCCTGGAAAAATGTCATTTTGACAGCGATAGCAGGCAGAGATCAGCCAGAGCCTCAGGCTCCTTCCTCCATAGCACTGAATGCAAAATGAGCACGACGTGTGCGGGGTAGCAGCTTTGCACTCCCTGGCTTTCCCTAGGCACTCCCATAAGTTGGGCAGCACTCCTGGGAAGAGCCCGGCACCCTGCACACCAAAAAGAAAAAGGCAGCTCCTTCCTGTGGGAAAAATCATAGCAAAGAGAAGGCCAAGCAACACACGTTTTAAGACAAAATGCTCCAAGAATCTCTATAAAAATATAAAAATATGTAAAAAGCAATAGATAAAACCATACTGATATTAAAATACTAAAATAAATATTGAAATACTAAAATGCTGCGTGTTATAGTAACGATGCTACACGCCAGTGAACAATTAAAGGCCAAAATTGCCATCTCCCAGCTAAGACTCAGGTTGTGAAGTGTTGTCCCCAGGGATGGAGCAGATGGGAAGGAGTCACCCCCAACCCTGCTGTAGCCCTGAGCCATGACTGCACAAGCCTGGGCTCTTCCTGGCAGTCTTTATCACCTCCAAGGGCCCGGTGTCCCAAGTCACTGTTGCTCGAAGATGAGGAAGGAGAGGGGAGAGGGAAGTGCTGATGGGGACCCCGCAGAGGTCCCAAGATCCTGCTCCTGGCTTTGAGGGACACTGAAACCCAGGGACAGGATCCTGTCCCACCTTTGGGGCTGGCACATCTTTCCCAGGGCTCCTCTGAGCTATGGCAGTCCTACATTGGCACTCGTACAAATGAATATAGGCAATATTACTTTATCTATTTTCTATAGCTGTATCTCTATAATCTATTGAGCATACTATTTTTTACTTATCACGGTGATAAATAAGCATTTCTCCTCTTTCTCTGATATTTCAATTTTACATTTTTGGTTTCCAAAGGCTGCATTATACTGAAGGAGGTTTGAAGCTAAAAGCAGACATGAGAAAAAAACAACTAAAAAAAAAAAAAAGTAAAAAAATAGAAGGGGCTTTTGAGCAGCAAAGTGCTCTGGATGAGCTTTGGGTCACCCAGGGACTGTGCAGAGCCAGTGGTTTGTAGTACTTCTGTGG